TCAGTGGAAAGGAACAGGTTGCCCAGGGAGGTGGTTGAGGCCCCATCCCTGGAGATATTCAAGGAGAGGCTCGACGAGGCCCTGGGCAACCTGGTCTAGTTGGGGGTGTCCCTGCTGACTGCGGGGAGGTCGGACTAGATGACCCTTGGAGGTCCCTTCCGGCCTGGGCAATTCTATGATTCTATGATTCTATGAAAGAAAAGTCATCTTTTGGATAGTTTTTTTGTTTAAAGTAAGAAGGAGCTCGGACTCTTCACTGTCTTCCGGATGATCATGTCTCTTTCCGTCTCTATCACTTAATGATAAGATCTGCAGGGGGAGACAAAGCTCTAACAGTGCAGCTGAGAAGGCACAGGTACCTGGTGTCTGGCTGACTTCACCACCACATGACATGAGAACCCACTTCTCACCCAAAGATGCTAAATTCTTTACAGCCCTTCCAGTGAATCTGTACCTACTTTGCTTTACACAAGTCCTCCCCTTGCTTATCTCCTGTCTTCACTACAGCTTCTTTCTTGTAGCCTGTCTTCTTTTCACCTGCAATCACCACCTTTTCAAGAACATAAAAAAAAAGAAAACACAAACAAAACCTCTTTGGCTTGACCATGATGCATTTTGACATATTATTTATTCCCCAAATTCTCCCAGTCTCCTTCCCCTTCCAAGGATATACTGATGCTGCAATAGTATCATTACAGACATACCCAGACAACTGTGCAATTAGTTTTACTGTCTGTTTATCAGGAAATTAAATATATCAGGGGCTGTTCTCTGGCACCAAGGCCAGTTGATATGCATCAGCCTATGTCCATAAAATCAAATTCTCTCACCCATCATTTCAGGGTGGCTTCATCTAAACTGCCAAGTGAGAATATTCTCTGATTCTATCAGCTCCCAGACCATTTGGGAGTTGGCCTGGACTTTGCTTTTGGGCCTGGACCATAGCTTGTGAGGGACTGACAGTTTAACAGTAGAGGCAATCAAGTTTCAGTGCCAAGGCCTGGTATTTCTAACTTGGATGTGTGTTTTCTAATACAGATGTCTCAATCAACTTTAATGGACTCTTGACCCAGGCTGTGCATCTGATCTCTTTCCCCTTGAAGGCAACTGATAGTAATAGCTGTTATTATTATTATTATTGTTCTTCTTATTATAGTTGCTATTAGTATCATTATTATTATAGTTATTATTGTAATTGTAATTAAAATGACAAGCTCTCCTTATTTTTAGGGGGGCTTACTTCCCTCTGCTCCAGATTTCTCCACCTAGTTTCTTAATTATGCCTTGAAGGTAGGCCCTCTACTTTCCATGACCAATAATTTCACTGACTCACAAAATGATATGGTGTTGGAAAGGACCTCTGGAGATCTTCTAGTCCAACCCCCTGCCAGAGCAAGTCCACCTACAGCAGGTTGCACAGGAATGTGTCCAAGCGGGTTTTGAATGCCCCCAGAGAAGGAGACTCCACCACCTCCCTGGGCAGCCTGTTCCAGCGCTCTGCCACCCTCAAAGCGATGAAGTTCCTCCTCATGTTTAGGTGGAACTTCTTATATTCACGTTTGTGCCCATTTCCTCTTGTCCCGTCCCTGGGCAACACTTAAAAAAGACCAGCCCCAACATCTTGACACCCATCCTTTAAGTATTTATAGGCACTGATGAGATCCCACCTCAGCCTTCTCTTCTCCAGATTAAAAAGACCCAAGTCCCTCAGCTTCTCCTGGAAAGAGAGATGTTCTAGTCCCCTCATCATCTTTGTAGCCCTCTGCTGTACCCTCTCCAGCAGTTCCCTGTCCTTAATTTCCTTCCTACTAAAGAGCAGACGTTTGCTCTCCTGCCGAGTCTCAGCATGTCCAGCAGACATGTGTCAGCACCGATGGTGAAGGGATCTGGGATCCTGACCCTGGTGTCCCTGCAGACTAAGGCATCAGGAGCAGCACCTGCTTGCCCGCTGTGCCCACATTTAGAAGAGCTGCGAGGCACAGAGCGACGGAGCTGCTCCCCGTTGAGCGGTGTCAGCAGGGAATTGCAAACCAGCCTGCTTCTCCCCAGCATGAAGCTTCAGGGTGGTGACAAAACACATACTCCTGTTGCCCATCAGGAGGAAGGCAGATCTCCTCCCTCCAGCCCTTGCTAAGCTACGGGCGTCCTTGTGCATCCCCACCTCCCAGCTGCAAAGCTGTGCCAGGAAAGCCTATTTTCCTTCCAGCACAAATCACCAGGGGAGCAGGAGGCTGCTCCTCTCTCCTCCTCCTCCACACTGACACTCGCTTGCAGGAACATAACCTGCTGTGCGTAGGGTTGGACCCTAGGGCCAGGGGGTCCCTCACAGCAAGAATCGGGTTGGACCATGTGGGAAATACACACCACGGTCTGTGCTGTGTCAGCTGGATTCAAATCACCTGCAAAAAGGCATTAATTTTTAAGCATGTATCCGTATTTATGTTTTGTTTTGTTTTGTTTGCTGTTACTTACCCCAGGGTGTAGAAACATCCACTTCCTATAACCACATTTTGCAGCAACCTTCCTTCAAGTGTGAGATGAAAACAGCTTTACCATGTAGGGCTTTGGGGGGTGGACGCAGAACATTTCATGCTAACATTTTTCCTGTTTGTTGGCAATTTTAAAAAACCTGGAGAGAGAAAAAACAAAATTTTTGGCTTATAGAAACCATCCAAGATTCACCTAAACTTTTCTGGACTCAGCTGGAGCCAGAGCTCACAGAGAGTGCAGATCTCTGCCATGAAACCAGGAGTGGCTTTGTGTGTCATTCTTGCCAGGAATTTCAGTCATGGTGCTGGATGTTCATTTATGGAAGGAGGTTGATAAGAGCACTCATGAAACCGCTGGTGCCTTTGACATAAATTTCAAACACATCACTGCCTTTCAGACTTTCCTGCTGACCAAAAAAAAAAAAGAACCAAGATAAGAACTGAAACTTTCTTTGTAAATCCTTGAGCTAGATCTTGAGACTGCAAGTATCCTTAAAGCCTTAGCTGATCTTACCAGTGTCTGTGGTTCAGAACAGTGTTTCATAGAATCATAGAATGTTTTGGGTTGGAAGGGACCTTTAAAGGTCATCTAATCCAACCCCCGGGCCATGAGCAGGGACATCATCAACCAGATCAGGTTGTTCAGAGCCCGGTCCAACCCGACCTGGAATGTTTCCAGGGATGGAACATGTACCATCTCTCTGGGTAACCTGTGCCAGTGTTTCACCACCCTCATTGTTAAAAAATTCTTCCTAATATCTCATCTAAATCTCCCCTCTTTCAGTTTAAAACCATTACCCCTCATCCTATCACTCTACTCCCCAATAAAGGGTCCCTCTCCATTTCTCCTGTAGGTCCTTTTAAAGTACTGGAAGGCTGCTTTAAGGTCTCCCTGGAGCCTTCTCTTCTACAGACAGAACAATCCTAACTCAGCCTGTCCTCATACGAGAGGTACTCCAGCCCTCTGATCATTCCACATCAGCTGCAACACAAACAGTTTCTGGTTTGCAAAGCATAGTAACAACCTCAAAAAAACCCAACAAATAAAAAAAACCCCAACCCCAAAAGCCAAAACCTAAACTAAAAACAGAGTTAAACTAAAGGAAACTTATGCTTTATATATCTTCTGTTTGTAAACACCTTTAAGCAAACACTAGAGATGAATGAATAGCTTTTCTACTTTCATTTCAAGACAATATAAAACCCCCAGCCACTTCACTGCAATTGCAGATTAGAGGGATTTATACATATATAAATTATATATATCTCTCTATATATATGAGATACTAAATGACACAAAGCACTGGGAGAGGGAATGAAATGATACAGGCTCAGAATAAAGTGCTGATTCTTTATTCAAATGCAGAAGCCCTCTCCTGGGATGGTTTAATTTAAATTTCAGTCTTGGAAAAGACAATGTCTTTCAATGAGGTGCCTGTATCCTGTATCCTGCTATATTTCAGTATGCAGACTTTGCAGATAATGAAGGATAAGAGTATGGCAGGACAAAGAAATGCAGCCCGAAGTAAGGGTTGTGCTTGTGTAGGGGAACTGAAACTTTGTTTTTAGAGGAGCTTAAAGGTGTTGACTGGAAATCTTTCTGCTGGACAGGAATATTTGCAGCCTCTGCTGTTATCAGTGCACCACAGTGAGGACTTTGGGGCCAAGGCATTGGGTTTCTGAATCCATAAAATCCCTGTCTCTACCACATACTTCCAATGTGATACCGGGCAAATAATTTCTTTTGTTAATTTCTCTTTTTTTTACCTGTAAACTGGGGATTGAAACAAAAGGATTATTTTTTTTTTTACGAGTTTGGGGCTGCTGTCTGCTTGGAAAATATATCTATTCAATATTTGCATACATGCTGTTCTCATCCAAGGAATCAAAGTGCCATTATAAGGTAAATAAGTAGTCATTTTGTATAGAGCTCCTTCTTATTCATAACAGATCCTGAGTATTGTCACCTGCATTACTAAGGTAGAAAATGCTGTGAACAGAAAGTAACCTCTTTTTCTTAGGGACTAGCACTGAGCATTTTCATAGCATTAATTTTCTGATTTTTTTTTTTTTTTTTTTTTTTATTTTTAACTTTCCCTTTGATTTCAGAGATATGGAATAGAAGGGTACATCTTGGAATGCACTGATTTGCTTTTTCATTTTAATTCCTTTTCTTGTGGAGAACACAGAGAGCTGCGGTCACATAAGCAGGCAATAGACTATGACAAGGGAAG